AGATAGATACAAAACCTGACAGAGTGGTCAGGCTTGGGGACTAATACAATGGGGCTGCTCCATTCACTTGCAGATTCTCCCATCACCCCCAGGTTTAGCATCCTTGTCATTTATTGCCAGACTGTGTCCCTAGCCACACCACAATTTGCAAGAGTACTCTTTGGATGGTGCATCTGGTGCTCCACCAGTGTGGTCTTGCCTGGTCTCTCAGAATTTAGGGAGATGTTTACCGAAAGCATGGCTTTCATGTCCCCTTGCTGAGCTGCGGTCAGTTCCACCCCAAAATGGTGAGGCCAGGGTCAGTTCCTCCCCAAAAAATGGACCCTGCTGGTAGACAGGTGGGAGGATCCAGAGCCTCTTAAGTGGTCATCTTTCAGTTCAGGGCCATGAGACATGCATCTCAGGCAACCCAGGGCTTTAAATGGTTGACATGATATACCTGTGACTCACAATGTTTCCCTATGAGGCATATCTTGTAGTCAGCTCACCCAACTTGCTGTAGTACTTTAAATGGGCCTTGTCCTTTTGGCAATAGTTTGCTTTCTGGTGATGGCAGTAGGAGTAGCACTTACTCTCCTGGCTGATGTACTTGCAGTTGGACCCCTTATTGTAGTGCTGTTCTTGCCTGTGCTGGGCAGCTTTCAGGTTTTCCTTTCCAAGCGCCTCCACCAAATCCAGGCGTTCATATAAATTTAAGACGTATTATAGGACATTGTGCCATGGAGGTCTGGGTCTGCCATGATTCCTACAATAAGTACATCATCCCTCAGGGCTGTCTCCTATAATAGCTTGAACAGCAAAGATGTCAGTCAAGGACTGGGGTACCTCCTGAATGGTAAACAGGAAGTAAGGGAGTAGCCAGTCACAATTGCAAGGCTCATCTGACACAAACTTTCATAACATCCTATGACAGGGGGCCATCTCTGGGCTGTCTCTCAACATTGGCCCGCCCACCTGTCTAAGTAGGTCAGTCCACCCAGTCTCGCCTGCCACAACTTGTCGTTTCTTCACCTGGTGTAGCATGCAGGAGGATGCCCATTTTACTGCCCTGATGCCAGGGGCACTATACATGACTCCGACCTTCCCTTATTATGTCTCATGCCTTGCAGATGGCATCCTAGAGCTGCTCTTTGCTCCAGCTCATGGCCAGGCCAAACTCATCCCCTTGCTGCTCAGGCATTCATCCTTTCCCTCTGCCCCAACAGGCCTCATTCATACCTCCCCCTCTCACTGGGGCCTCCTGCACTCCACCCCATCTCAGTGGGTCTCTTACACACTGCCCCTCACTGGGCCACACCTGACCTGCCCTGTTCCCTTGAGCAACCATGTAGGCCATCAGACTTGCCTACTCACACTCCTTGGTTGGCCAGTGCATGGTCTCTCTGACCATCTCGTAACTCATCTGAATGGTGACCAACTAATTTGCTTCATCCTGGGTGGAGCTCTGACCCAGGCCCCTCTCCAGATACCTTGTCACTCTTGCCCACTCCTTGGGGCCAACTGCTTGCTCCTTCCACCCGTAACTCCCACTGAGATGCATCACTTGGCCTGAGGCCCAACTATAGCCTCAGGCATCCAAAGATCAACCTTGGCCACACTGCTCTTCCTGGGACTTTATCTTATGCCCTCTTACTAGGGCCTTCCATCTGTACCCTCTTGCTAGCCCTTCACTTTAACATATGCCCTCTCTCTAGGGCCTTCCACATAAGCCCTCTCACTTGAGCTGCTCTGCATCTATGCCCCCTCACTGGAGCCTCTGGGGTCTTGCACCCCAGGGTACAGGTGTTCAGAGATGTGCCTGGCCCCCATGCCCGTCCTTAGATGTGGGTAGCCCACCAGGATGTGGGTGCTGGGGTTTTAAGATGCCCCTACCCACCTTTCACCAGGGAGGTAACTGGCCTGGCATTTCTGGGGGACTGCCCTGCCATGTATGGCCCTACCAGACCACCCATCCCCAGCAGGGTACAGTTTCAAGTCATACCCAGGACTAATGCAGGCCTACCTGCTGTTCCCCTGCTGGGCTACATATTATCCCAAGGCTGCTCTCTCTACAGGACCTTAGTTCTAGCCTCCTTCATGCCTGCTTACTGAGCCTTTCTTCCCCTAGATAGTGATGTCCCCCTCATAGAGGGGACTTTCAACCTCCTTAGGCTCTGACCTCACCTCCAGGTCAGTTGGGGTGCCAGATAGCCCATCATGGCCCAGACCTGCCCCTCATGTTAGGCTTCATTGCCCTTCCGCCTTCCAGCCCTGGCCTTTTTGCATTGACTAGCCGGGGTACTCTGGTTCCAGCATCACAGCAGCTGACCTCCTTGGGCAGCAGGGGATCCCCTTCTGGGCCCCACCATACAGCCATCTCAAACTGGGCTTGCTTAGAGCCCCAGAGATCATAATAACATGGCTTCATTCTGAACGGGGCTCATGAGCCCCAGGCTGCACCCCTGCCAAATCTACTCTAGGACTTCCCTGGCTGCTTTGTAGACCTACAAGCTGTTAGCCCCATGCCTAGGCTAGGCCTTGCTCTTACTAGGTCTTAGCCTTCTTCCCACAGCTCAGAACCCCACTGGGTCCTCTAGGAACCTCCTGCCATCCCCATAGTTCCACCCTTACGTCCAGGGTGTTGTGAGCAGCAGCTCAGCCAGGTGTTGTTGCCCCCTGGCTGCTTGCAGCAGACTGCTGCCTTAGCTCCGAGAGCCTGGATCTTAAAATGGCCACCTCAGAGCTGACCCACACCTGCTGGCTGCCTGCTCTCAGCCTTAAAGCGGCAGGCACCCAAAGGTGCACTGCCACACACCTTCCCCCTTAAAATGGCTACCAGGGAGAGTGTCTCCCTGACACTCACCCTGCAAGCTCCTCTGTAGCCTGCAACAACCCACTAAGTGGCTAGCACCCCAATGGTGCTCCACCATACATCCCCTTTAAGCATCCAGTTTAGTCACTCAATGAATCCATCAGTTTGGGGGTGGTACACCAAGGGCTTGATTGACTGGACTTTGAGTAAACCCCAAACCTCCTGTAACAGCCAAGACAAAAAATAAATAAATAAAACAAAACTGGTTGGTTAAGACCTCTTTTGAGATATCCACCCAGGAAAAAAAATCTGTATTAGTTCCAAGGCCACAGTTTGGGTGGATGCCATCTGAATCACTACAGCCTCTGGGTAGCATAGTCCACAAGAGCTAAATATAAACCAAGCACTTCAGGTGCTGGGCTCCAGGGGGCTAACCAAATCCACTCTGATGGGGTATCAATGGGGCTTTAGGGTCAAGCCAGGGTGCTACTAACTGGCACTCGGGTCACAAGGCACAGTACTTCTTAATCTCATTGTACCCTCTGGGCTAGAAAACTCTCGCTAGCACCCGGCTCTGAGTTCTCTTGCTCCATATGACCTCCCCAAGGGTATGTCATCAGCCAAATCTTAGCACCTGCTGGTAGTAAGGCCAGGGTACTGCCATCTGGGACTGCCAAGTTCCTATAGCCTGGTCTTCAGTCATTCAAACTAGAAGGTTCCCCTGTAGTTCAAAAGGGGGGTTAAGGACAAGTCAGTTAGCTCAGGCTAGTTGGCCATATAGTCTCACAAACACTGGATCTTCCTGCGGGTCCCACAAAAAACATCCTGGGTCATTCCCAATTGACCCAGTTCTGGTCTGCAGCCAGGCTCAGTGGGCCCTGACATGATAGTTCCCCTTTCTGGAGGGTTTAAGTTACATTGCACTGCAACCCCTTCCCAAGTGCTTCTATTGGTAAAGGAGGGCTTCTGCCGAATCTGTTCTTGGTGTGGCCAGGGTTGCGGCCTAAACAGCTCAGATTCCCTAAAAGGAAAGATCTCCCCAAATGTAGGCTACAGTGGATTAGAACCAGTCAGGAGCCTCTGCATTCAGCAGCCGTAGCAGTAAATCCATCGAGCCCCAGTCTCTCCCAGTATCACTAGGTAGGCCAATTGGGAGGCCACAGCAGCTCTTACTTGGCCCTTACACTCACCAACTGTCAGCATCAATACACCACAGGGAAGGGGCAGGTATCCCCGTGGATACAGGTACAAAAGACATCCCAGGATGGGCAACTGGTGCCGCCTTAGTCGGGGGGGGGGGAAAAAGAGCAGCACATGCTCTTCCCCAGCGACCAGTTAGCAACCCAGGGGGTCCCCCATTGGCCAATCCTACTAATGGGGGGGTGCCCCCCACAGCTGATGCCTGTGGCCACTTCTGGAAGTGCCATGGCACTCCACTGCACAGGGGGCACTTTCAGAGGTGGCACCGGTGCTCCCACCTGACCCTCTGCCTGTTGCCTAAGCAGCAAGCGCTGCTGGTCAGGGGGCACACCCCCTACAAGTTACCACTGCATCCCAGTAGAGGAATGTACTTCAACCTTTACATGCTGTGCATGGACAGTTGTCTGACCTGAGCCAGAGTCCTCAAGCCCATTGACCAGTGCCGTAGCAAGGGAGTGGGGCAGGGCGGGGAAAGCAAGCAGGGCACCCGTCCCAGGCACCGAAGCAAAGGGACACCAACAAGTGCTGGTCAGCTGGGGTGGGAAAAGAAGCGGAGCAATAAGTGGCTTGTTTGAAGGGGCGTGTGCCCCCCAGGTCTGTGTGTGGGGCAAGGGCAGGGTGCTGCTGCAAGTTTCGCCTGAAGTGCTAAACTTCATTGCTATGGCACTACCATTAACCCAAACCTCTCCAATCTTTATGGGGACCACACAGCTTCTTGCATCAGTTTGGGTGCTGCAGGAGTTGGCGAGTCTGGGGGGGGG